CTGATGTTTTGCTGTACAATCAACCTCAGCAGGAGATTTTAGATTGCACATCTATTTTCAATTAATTCCGGATTTATACTTAATCACAAGGTTGCAAGATAATCCTACCAATGGGTTCTTTTTCCAGCTGAGAAGAAATTCATTTTGTGTTCTCCATGGGATAAAAATACTGTATAAAGATACAAATGAACCTATATTTTCATGGAATGAGTACAGCTTTCAGCTTATTTATTGCTGTGGGTGACTAAGATGCTTAAAAGATATAATTTTTGACCATTGAGGAAGGTGGCTGAAGAATCATAGAAGGAGAGAGAATTCTGCAGTGCATTTTAACTTCTGCGGTGAACCAAGAAGACATTCATAAATTCTGCAGCATCTTCGTGGGTAAAGAAAAAAATGTGGAAAAATAGGACATTTGGCTTCAAACCGCAAAATAATTATTATTGTATTTTTATAACTCATTAAGATACCAAGTGGACTTTGTATTCTTCGATAAATTGCATTCTTTTTTTTTTTGTTGTTAGTTTAGGTCATTAATATCCAGACTCATTATCTCCTGGAACTTTTCCTTACTTTCCATTTATTACTGCTCCGCTGAGTGTAATGGAGCTGTTGGGGCTGAGCAGGGTCCCAGACTCATTCTGGGCTAACACATTATTTGTGGGTACAATTTGACCATAAATTACTAGCAAGAGACAGAAATTGCAGAGCCAGGACTTCAAACTCCCTTGTGCTAAATCCATCAGGATGAACAGATTGTAAACTGCCCATTGCAAATATGATATACAGCAATTTAGCATCCTGTTAATACTTCGTAACTTCCATCCCTTACATTTATATAGCTTTTCCCTCCTAAAGCTTTCTGAAATTGCTTCTCCAGTCATTATACTGCACAAAGCAGTTCAGATTTAATAGGAATAGTTGTGAACATTAGCGTCTGAATGATTTGAGCCCATATGGAGTTTTTTGTATCTAGCTGGGTAAGTCTGAATCATTTGTTTCTATTGTTCATTGCCAT